TTAAAAACAAAATTAAGCTGATGATTCCTTTATAGTGAGGTTTGGTGAGAGACCGATAATAAGAAAGTCACATGTCACCTTTGTGACTGAGTCACTACTTCCAATATGTGATTGATAATAATAATAATAATAATAATCCTTGCATCTGATATAGCGCTTTTCACGTCGGGAGGACGTCCCAAAGCGCTTCACAGAACACACTGTAAAGTGAATTGACTGTATATTTGTGGGCGAACGCGGCAGCCAATTGCGCACAGCAATGTCCCACAAACAGTCGTAGATTGAAAATGACCAATTTAATTATTGTTTTTGTTTTTTTGTATCACATTCACTCAGGTATGACTACTCCATGTACAGATACGCTTTGGGATGTCCTCCCAACATGAAATAATCTTTGCATTTGATATAGCACCTTATCGTGTTGTTGAGAAGCCTCAAAGCACTTCACAGAATATATTGTAAAGTGAATTGACTGTGTATTTTGTGGGTGAAACACGGCAGCCAATTGTGCACAACGGAGTTCCACAACTTGAGTGGATTGAGTGATCACATATGTTTTTGGAGGGTTTATTATCGCCATAAAGTGATTCGACGATCGACTAACAGCCAAATTCCTTCTTACCTCTAGAGATAAACAGAAATGTGTGGAGTAAGGAAACTTGATTTTGCCACTCCCAGGAATCGTATCTGGGTCCTTTTGCTTGTGAGGCGAGTGCGCTAACCACAATGCTACGACATTTATGACCACAAATCTACGACAATTTTTGGAATTTATATTTTCCTCATTATCATTAGGAAGTTTGTAAAGAGTTCGTGGTACGTGCTATCCTTTCCGGTGATGTCAAATGACCAACTAGCGACTATCCTTATTTTTTGGAATTAGGTAAACAGGGTGCACAGGAAGAGAGTGCACATTCCACCTAATTTGGATACTCGTAAGTATGCTAATGGGATATGATACACCCTAAAATATTCCTCATTATTTCTTTGTATACCTAGTAATTCAACGTCATACTTTTCACAATGCACAATGTATGTGAAATATACTGAAATAATTTTGCATCAATAAAAATGTCCTAAATTTTATCGGAATATTCTACCACCTTAATTTTACTTCAGCTGAAAAGTGTTCCAAGATTTGGCTGATTTGTAAATTGTGTAAACCATGTGTAATCAAATTTAGAAGGGAATTATAGGAACCTTTAGGTCGCTGACTCCTGAACAGGATTATAAGTGATTTTTAAATCCTTTATATTGGTTGTGAATGACATGACACCTGTACAATACAATGTTACATTGTAATAACACCTTTCATGGCGAGAGGATGCCTAAAGCATCCTGTGGAGTTCTGTAGCTCAGTGGTTAGAGCACTCGCTTTGCATGTGAGAGACGTGAGTTCAATTCCAGGCAGGGCGAAACCTTGGGCAAGTTTCCTTACTCCACACGCCTAATAATAATCCCTCCAAAACAAAAAACAATAATAAAAATTGGTCATTTTCAATCTACGACTGTTTGTGGGTCATTGCTGTGCGCAATTGGCTGCCGCGTTCGCCCACAAATATACAGTCAATTCACTTTACAGTGTGTTCTGTGAAGCGCTTTGGGACGTCCTCCCAACGTGAAAAGCGCTATGTCAAATGCAAGGATTATTATTATTATTATTATAAAGCACTTAACATTGGGCACTTGCTGAGCATCTGAGCTGAGGGTGAAAGCAGAAGGTGATGGCGAGCAGTGGCAGAATGATAGGTTGAAGAGGGTCACAGAGATAAGGTGGGGTGAGACCGTAGAGGGATTTGAAGGTAAGAACAGGGATCTTGAATTCAATCTGCTGGGAGTTGGGAAGCCAAAGCAGCCGAGAATAATGGGGGGAAGTGATTGGTTTGCAGAACCTGGTGTGGGACAGGACACAGACTCTGGATAGTCTGCAGTCTGTGTGGCGAAAGAGTTGGGGAGTCTGACGGGGAGAGGTCGTGGCGGAGGAGGACAATGAGGGAGGGTTGAGTTGGTAAGAGCATGGATGTGTACTCCCTCTGTACATGTGTTTACAAATGGTTAGCACAGTATTTACAAATGATTATCACAACCTGTAAATTGGACCCCTATCTTGTGTAAAAGATGAACCATGAAAAGCAGGAAATTCCTCGTAATCTGTTGTGATTTTGCTGAAATCAGCCATGTCAGCAGTGGAGGGCAGGAATGGCTACAATTGGGCTCATTGGAGGGAGGATAAAAACAGGTGGAAAACAATGTGTGTGGCTGCCTGGTTAAGGCTCCCAGTGATTGAATACCCCATGAACAATCACTGTTCTGGGTCCACACATGGAAAGCATCCACTTAAGGTAATGAAGGGCAACCAACACCTATCGATGTACCCCTGCACAACTCAGTGCTTATTCGGAAAGATGAAGCAAAGGTAATGAAAATACAAAATTTATCTTCATAAAGAACTCTGTGTCTAAGTATATCTAACGTATAATAGTTACTCCAGATAGATATGCAGTTGTAATATATTTAATGTAATCTCTTAATCCCGCTTTGGGATTTAAATGTAGATTTAAAGATGACAAATTTCCCTGTCCACTGGAAGAGAGTGTGAATCACAATACAATACAAAATTACATTTGTATAGTGCCTTTCACGTCGGGAGGACGTCCCAAGGTGCTGGGAATTAGACAGTATTCACACAAGATACTCTGCCTGCCTAATATGTATCTGGAATGAGATGTCTATCTATTCTTTACAAAACTGAAGGTATCAATTACTTCTCTATATACGTGGAGTCCTGTAGCTCAGTGGTTAGAGCTCTCGCCTTGCAAGCGAGACACCTGGATTCAATTCCAGGCAGGGCGAAACCTTGGGCAAATTCCCTTACTCCACACGCCTAATAATAATCCCTCCAAAACAAAACAATAATAAATTGGTCCTTTTCAATCCACGACTGTTTGTGGGATACTGCCGCGTGCAATTAGTTGCCGTGTTTCGCCCACAAATATACAGTCAATTCACTTTACAGTATATTCTGTGAAACGCTTTGAGATGTCCAGAAGATGTAAAAAGCGCTATATCAAATGCAAGTATTATTATTATTAAGTGTTTGTAATATATATAATATATAAATAAAACCAATCCCTGCTTTCTGGGGCGGTCTGGGAGGAGACTGACAAATATTAGGGAGGCATTTGTGTAAGTAATTCACATGTTGTCACATCTGTGTTGCAGACAGTCAATACTTCCAGTTTTTGTTTCCGGAGTGGGATTATGTCGGAGGTATTGAGGAATGTATATAACCCTAACACTTTCACTCAGGCATTAATGAAACATTCCAGAGCCCAAAATTCATTACACCATAGCAAATCAGTCAATCAACTCCCACAGAGCAAGTTGCATATACACACTAGGATCCTGTCGTTTGCAACTGGTACAGAGAATTAAACACTCACTTAGATGTCATAGAAATGTCTTTAGAAATAGTAATGAGCAGTTAAGATAAACCTTTGAATGCAGTGTTAAGAAAATATGAGATTACAAAGGTATCTTTATTGAAAAAAAATCAATATTACAGCACACGGCTGCGATCACATTGTCAGTTCAGTCTCACACCAGGTACCTGGCAGGTGGAACATGCTGCAGATGTGACCCTGGCATCAGACACATCTCGTTCTGGATACACAGGAGCAAGATCCTGTGGGAAAGATCACAGTATTAGTTTAATGTGCTGTCAGTCTAGTTGAGGCTACTGGTTCATAATTTTAATTATTTGCTTTAGCTTTGGTCTGCTGGGTGGCTCACATGCAGAAATTCATCACCATGTTTAAGAGTATCCAAATCAGATAGAGTTCTGCATACACATTCTACCCTACGCATGGAAATTGCCTTGTATCTGGATTGGAATACACATTCTTCCCTGAAGGGTCACACTCTACTTAAATAATCGTGCCCCAAAATGGGGCTTGAACCCACAACGTTCCAGTGAGAATGCTACCGTTGTGCCAGGCTGATACATATTGGTCATACATTTCATAAAATCCAGTATTCCTTAATAGCCAGTTTTATTACAAGGGCTTCATGAGGCACTAAATTGAAATGAGGGCAATTGATATGGTCCCTACAATGTTCCATAATCTCATACAAAGCCACAACTTACTCCACACTCATCACAAGAACAAAATCCAACCTGTTATTTCCTGAAACCACGAGCCTCCAATGCACCTTAAAAGCCAATTAACCCAGTAAGATTCCTTGATAGTTCTCGGTTTTACTGGGGTCACCCATCTTGTGGATAGGTATCGCAGTCTGGAACACTAACCATGCGTATATCTCAGAGAGGGTGTTCCTGACCAGCCCTAGGACAGCACCAAGGCAAGTTGACGGTTCCTAGCATTACCAGTAAGATCCTCAATGTTCTCTGCCCCTTTCCTCAGAGCAGCTTTTGCGAATTTGGCATTTTTGCTTTTTTAAAAATTGGTCCAGGTTCCTATCTGACTCTAACTGATCACATAGTGAACACTTTGCATCTGTACCATGCACTGGAATCAGGCTTGAGATGGACAGAAGCACGCAACTACTCCTCCAGAGAGGCAGCAACAGCGTTAGCTCACTTTTAGAACAAATAAAAGGATTACAAAAAATAACTTGATGACTTATTCGTGGTGTAGTCATAAAAAACTTGTAGTATCTATTTTCAATGTTACAAAAGTATTGGTAAAATAAGAAGTAAAAATTAATGCAACTTTTTAATTAGTGTGTACAGTATTAAAAAATCTCTAGAAAAAAGTTTACCTAATTTCATGGGGCTTTCTTCACTTCTATTATATAATAATAATAATCCTTGCATTTGATATAGCGCCTTATCACTTCTTTGAGACATCTCAAAGTGCTTCACCGAATATACTGTAAAGTGAATTGACTAGATATTTTGTGGGCGAATATATTGTATATTATAGACAATAATAATGGTTAAATAATCCTTCCCAGACAAAAAAAACACAAGACAGATGTATTGCAATTAACTTTAATTGTTTCTCATGTCTGCAACCAGCACTGTAAACTCATACTGAATGCAAGTTTCCCTTTTTCCAGCAACCCTTAGATCTTTCTCACACTGTGAAAGTATTTTCTGCCAAAACTTATTCTTCACAGATTCAGCTAAATTGATATTGACAAATTGAGTGTTGTGGCAGTCATTGCAGCGAAAGGTTTTGCTTTCTTTAACCTGACCCATGGTTACGAATGTGTCAAGTTCAGCCTTGAAGTTACCATGGAAATGAATACCCTTTGCACTCAGTCTACAAGGGACTGAATTTTCAATCACAACTTGCCTTTAAATTACATTATTTTCTTTCCTATCATACAGATAAAAATATTTTAATTTAATTTTAATTCAAAAACAATTGTGCTGACTGTGGAGGCATCAATTTTGCAATGCTGAAGTTGTTGATAAGAAGTTTGTGGGCTGCTTTCAAAATAATTTACACTATACAGAATGCAATGAGCTTTTAAATACACCAGCAGCAATTAGAAACTAATTTTAGCCCAATGCTACTTTAGATAAGAAAGCAGATTTTTTTTATTGTTAAGGTGAAGAGTTTTGACAGAATCCAAGTGAATGCTATTTTGGTTAAAAAATAAAATTCAAAAAAAGCCTACCGTCTTTCTACATCAATACATGCATAAAATAATGTAGAAGGAAGTTGTGATTCTTAATGGATAACTTTTCAGCTCACTGTTTGGTGCCCTGATAGATTAATAGAGTTTCAAATGATCTAGGTGTAGCACTAATCCAAAATGTAACTTTATATAAGGCCACAAGCTGTGCAGACGATCCATACTGGAGGTCACCTCAGTTGCCATTTGCAATTTCCTGCGAGTCTGAGGTTAGAAGTTGCATCTACTAAGGCAAATATCAGGTAATTTCAGCTCGGCTCCAGCACACCAGCACAATCTGCACCATAAGATCATTGCTTCCTGGCTGTTTAACACATGCTTGTCACGTCACTCCACAGCCAGATCACTCACAGCATCAGAGACCTCGGTGTTGACCTGAGCAGCAACGCTTGGTGGGTTCACATCCAAATAAATGTCATATTGTTGGTCCATCCCCAGATAGCTATCACTCATCAGATAGAGAGTGTAGATGTATCTGAAAGCAGAAGGTGAAATAAATATTAGTTCTTCTGTTCAGCTTTCCGTTCACTCTGATGCGTTCACTAAACTCTATGAAACTCATTTATCTCAATGGAGCATGTCCTTGTGTGGAATGCAATGTCACTTTAAAATAATGTAATGTACATTTGTATTCCGATTACACAACAATTAGTGGAAAACATATTTTCTTGCATAACATCATCTTTAGGTACATTATAGTAGACATATTGCTGATACAAAATATTCATATTTTTATCCATTTTTTGTTATTTTTTTAAAAAAGTTCAGAATATTAAAGTGGAGGCAATCTCAAAGGGATGTATATTTTCTCATATTAACACCCACATTCATCTTGAAATTAATAATAACCACTTGAGACAATAATAACCACTGTACCAGATCAAAATGACTATTGAATATTCTTTAATAAACAGTCCATTTAAAGAAAAATGTGGATTTAAAAAATATAGTGTCAATTTTCCTCCCTATCTGAGATAGTATGAACGCTCTTTGAGACGTACTGAATGGCGCTATGTGTATCCAAGCTATTGTATACCCTGCTGCATGTAGTCTTCCTATTTTATGGTCTGAGCTGAAAACTGACAAAATGCACATAATAATGGCAGGAAAATTAAAATGTCATGGTAGACAGATTCATACTCACTTTCACTTTCCCTTATGCAGCTATCATGCCCACCTCATCCTTTGATATGGGAAGATTCATGGTGAATTGTTAAATGTGGCACAACTAATGAAAAGGTGGCTAGATCTTACCTTCCAATGTTCTCAGGAGTAAAGAAGGCTAAGGAGACTGTGCTTCGATTGCGAATATATCCCACTCGTTTCAGAGCTACCAATTCTTTCTTGTCCACTTCCCCTAGGATTATAAACCAGCCCTCGTCCTTGGCCTTTGGGAAATGTGGTGTTATTGCCTTGCTCTCATGCTTTCCCTGTTGGCAAACACAAAACTATGAACAGAGATAGATTTTTTTGTTTGTTTTGGAGTATCAGCCTGGCTCAGAAAATCATGTGAAATGCTTTGAGATGTTTTGTTGATGTGATAAGGCACTATAACAAATATAAACATTATTATCATGACAAAAGAGGTTTGGAGGTAGAAAGCCCTTCGGCCTAACCATTCTCTTCATTCTAGAATACACTACCCCCACAGTCTTCCTATCACTGCATCAAACTGTTTCTTAAATTAGCGCACTATATTGATTTCCACCATCCCAATAACTCATTTCAGATGAAAATTACAATCTGTGTAAATAAATGCTTGCTGGTGCCTGGTCTAAATTTGTCCTTCATGACTCTGTGCACTAATGTCCTGCTGTCTTAGCATATATGAAAGTGTTCTGCTGGGTTTTTGCTATTCCAATCATCACTTTATGTACCTCTGTAATGTTCCCTTTCTTTTCAAGGCTGAAAAGCCCTAGATTTCTAGTCAATCTGAAGATCAACTAAAATGTTCCACTCTGCAGGGCCACTAGGGCCTAGGTGGTCTTATGTTGCAGCAACCAGATGTGTATTCGACGCTTCAGGTGCATGTTTTTTGAGGCAAGACAAAATGCAATTCTTGGGTGAATTAACAAATTAAGAATGATTATGAACAAATCATGTTAGCTACTTTTCAGTCTTTTGATCTTTTCCACCCAAATGATACATTTTAAATAAAAAAACTACCAGCTATTGTATATTACTTACCCAAAAATGGAAATATATCTATACTAATAAAGACAAAATATCTGTGTCTGTCTGCCAAGAACGCATTAACCGATTGACGTAGAGACCTGATCTATACCTCATTGGAAAAGTCTTGCATGGGTGAGAGTCAGGGACATTTTTTGTTTCAGAGATCTCCTATCGTGACCTAAACCAACTCATCCCACTTGTATGGACTCCCAACACAAGATCTCCCACAAGAGTCCTTGCAATCAGGAGTCTTCCCACAGGAGTGTTCCCACTGAGTTCTCCCAACAGGAATTCTCCCACAGGAGTCCTCCCAAAAGGGTATGTGTGCAAATATATGAACAAGGGATGCTAGTAAGTTCAATAGCACATTTTCTTAATCTTAAGGGATAAAGATGCCTAAGAAGCAAAGATCAAGCCTTTCCAGGTCAAATAAAAATGCCAGACAAAAGAGAGCAGGCCGATTAAATGAAACTGGTTGCAACGGTTACAGCTGTTGATAAATAATAGAGTATATAGATGTATTTATTTTTTAAATTAATTTATCTTTGGATTTAATATTTTCAGGTAATCACATATGCTCCTTAATTGCTATTGTTTCAAAATTGAGAAGGATTTTGGATGAGGTGGGGGAGAAATGAAACACAGGAACCAACAGCATCATAGAAACTGTAGTGCAATGAGTCAAAATCAACCCACTGATAAGCCACTGTTTGTGTATCATCACTAGCAGCACAATGATCATCAGCAAATCTATGTGAATCACAGCAACATGTGGGACTTGATGGCTTTCATACCTAATAAGAAAACTGCATTAAACATTCTATGTAACACACCATTTTCCATAACATATTAGTCAGGCTTCACAATGGACAGTGTTGAGTGTTGACACAAAACAGTGAAAATAATATCCTTCTTCATTTTCAACTTACAATAATTTGTCCAGTTATCATCTGGATGGTTATCAAAATAACAAAAACATCGCTGAGATAAGAGGGACAGCTTGTGTCAGACTGAATCCCATGTTTTTATGTTTCAGCCAGCACAAAGCACTGGCAACACTGCCCATCATGCTCACGTAAGATGTGCTTCTGGCAGTAGCCCAGTCGTACCTTACTCCGTCCCAGGCTAATCCTGCGTAGGTTGATCTGGAGTACGTATTCCTGATCAGCGTGCAGCTGAGTCCAGTTCTTTTCATCTCGAATGCCAGTGCCCACACTGGGCAGTACTTTCTCGTTCTGGCCCACTGCACCGTTGTCCCACCAGCCCTTGATACTTAGATAAACCTCAATGACTGGCAGATGGGAGAGGAAGTTCCAAGCCTGAAAGGACAGCAGAAGTTGGAATAATTATGCAATTCGTTGGCAACTAATGCTCAGTTTTCTGGAGTCTGCTGAATGAATGGTCCACAGCTGCTCAATAATAAAAGTGCAGTGTGTAAACGACAACAAGACTGTATAATGCACTATTCCTGCCCACATTCTGATACGAGTTTTAAACTGGTTACAAGTTGACCCATGACCGTTCAATGCACCACACGATAAATGAAAAACTGTGAGTCACTCGTTTTCTCCAATTTCTTTCTATTGCGCTTCAAGTAAGAAAGAAGGATGATGACAATATTAGAAACTTTTTTAATCTATTTTATAATAATTATGAAACTTGCAGCAAAATTTAAATTTGAAGAAAATCTTATTTTTATTTCTTGATATGGTCATTTTAAAATCAGGAAGGAATTGTAAATTAACTCTGCCTCTGTGAGGCCTGCCTTTAGGGATGGTAGAAAATAAGTGGCTTGCTATCATTGACACTCCACTATAGTGCTCGGGGAGAACTATATTGTCAGAAGTGACATCCTTTGGACAAGGCATTAAATCAAAGTGCTGTCGACCTATTCAAGTGTACATTACAGATCCCATGGCATTATTCGGAATTCAGAAAGAGAAGGCAGTTTCTCCTGGTGTCTTGTCCAACAATCCCCCCAGGTAACATTTGTTGTTCACTTCATGCTTGTTTATGGGATTTTGCTATCACATATAGCCCAGTCACATATGGGTATAAATACAGTCACTACACTTGACAATACAATACAAATTTACACATGTATAGTGTCTATCAGGCCAGGAATTAGCTGCAATTAGCTGCGAAGAACTTGGGAGATTTGACTATAGCAAGTGAGGGAGACAGGCATGGAATAAAGGGACAACAATTTCCAATAAGCATAAAACTTTTTATTTAGTCAAACAGGTGTCTAACATACTTGGAAACCCATCACCATGCTTAAGAATTTGTGGAGTCCTGTAGCTTAGTGGCTAGAGCACTCGCCTTGCAAGTAAGAGGACCCGGGTTCAATTCACGGGCAGGGCGAAATGTTGGGCAAGTTTCCTTACTCCATACACTTCTGTTCACCTAACAGTAAGTAGGAACCCGGTTATTAGTTGATCCCTTCCCAGAAAAATAAGAATAATCTGATCACTCAATCCACGACTGTTTGTCGGACACTTCTGTGTGCAATTGGCTGCTGAGTTCGCCCACAAAATATACAGTCAATTCACTTTACAATATATCCTGTGAAGTGCTTTGAGATGCCTCAAAGATGCGATAAGGCGCTATATCAAATGCAAGGATCATTTATTATAATATCCAAATCAGTCAAAGTTCCACATGCCACAAACACATGGAGCTATCTCATTATTATTAGATTTAACTTTTGGGTTATGCACTTTACGTTTTTAAAATATATATAAAATATATAGACATAAAATTGTACAAACACACACCGCGCTCATATTATTGAGAGGTGGAAACATTAATTAGATAATACGTTTCTGAAATAATGGTTAATTAAAAAAATTGTAGGAAGTATCATCACTGTCAAATACAACTAGCAGAATCTGGTTGCATAAACTTCCAGAAACAAGAGTTTTTTAAAAAATGAAATGTAGCCTCTCGCTCCATCTCCAGTCCCACCCGATAGCCTCCCCACGGTCAAAATACTTTTTTTAAACAGGGTCCTAAACTGCCTGCACATACTTGTGTGATTTGCGTGGAGAACGGTCAAGCTAACACCTCATTGTTTATCAGTGTGCAGGCGTTATTGTCCTAATTCAGCTACAGAAGATAATTTATTGCTTAAATATACCATAAAGCTCTTAGATGGTGGCTGCCTTTTCATTAAAAATAAAAACTAGGCTATTGCAGCAGAGGCTGCTAAAACATTTCAATACGGGCAAAACATATTTATCTGAGGATTAATCTTCATCATTCGAATCAGACGAGAACACCTCTCTGCATGCAATTATTTAATTAGGTGCTGAATCCTCTGCCAGTCGCCAGCCGTTTGAAGCATACTGATGGCAGAACAGATGCAAATCTCACAGTGATGACTGCCTTTTCTCATTACGGCTGCAATTAGCACTTAAATTGATGCTTTAAACCCACTAATTTCCAGAATAATTCACAATTTTTTTTATTGTCACTGTGATTGCCTTACTAAACTGGCAGCAGCAGATTGCAGAACATTTTTTTCTGGAAGCAAGTAACTTTTGTAATGGACAGGTTACTATAACAGGTCTTATTTACAGAACAAACAACATTGAGCATATTCAAGAGACATGTATTTTAAGTATTCACTTTTTTGCTTCCAAGCAAAACTGATAAAGATTTTTTTCTTCAAATTCTTTTGCAGCAAATGTTATTGTGAAACTGAACAAAATCTTGCTAGTGCACTGCATCTTATTAGACATTTCATAGAACCGTAGAAAGTTTACACCATAAATGGAGTGGGTTCGGCATATTGCTTTTGTGCTATTCTAGCTCTCCTGACTGGAGTTATTTGCTCTATTGCTATTCCCCTACTCTTCCCCTGATACCCACAGTATTTATCCATTTTCCTTTTAAATTCTATGGACTTAGTTTCAAAAATTAAAGTTTGAAAGTTTGTGTTGAGGCTTTCCACATTTTAAATGTTTCTGTGTGAAAATATATTTTTACTCTGTTTATATATCAGTAGATAAAAAGTCTCCAGTAAGCATCACTGGCAGAGACACCCAGAATTGGAATAATCATTGCCTGGCCTGCCAAGTGATAAATAATCCTTGCATTTGGTTTAGCGCCTTTCACATCGGGAGGATGTCCCAGAGCATGATAATGGGCTTATATCTAAAAACCTTGATAATAGTTAGGCTGCAGGTTTGTGCTCAAATGCACAATTACTATTTTCTTCACAAATTCAAACATGCATTTTAGAAAGGCTTATTTTTGAAACAAATTAATTTGGTTTATCAATTGTGATATACATTGTAAATATATATTATACATTATGGTTGCAGGTGTTTACCTACAACACAGTCACTACACTTTACAGTAAAATCCTGTGAAGCACTCTGAGATGTTCTCCAAATGTGAAAAGCACTATATCAAATGTAAGGAGTATTATCAACATTTAACCCATCACAATAATTAATAATTCATTCAATACATATTTATTCACCAGAAAGTATTACCTTGCTTTTGTGACAATGCCGAATTGACTCTTCAAAATTTTAAAATGTTTGGATATTGTCTTGTAAGCTTGCATGTGTCAAGTGTAGTGTTTGAATTAAAATTTCAGAAAACCTTAAATTCCACGGAAATGGAAGTCAGATCTAACACACTGAAGGCACTTAAGCAGTAATTTTGGCATTTGCTTATTTAATGTCTTTTTTTCTGATGCACTATCACACACCTCTTATATTTGCAGGAGTTTAATATGAATTGGAAACTTCCATAATGCAAGTTTTCATCTTCAACCAATCATGCTGGCTGCTCATACTCCTTTGCAGATGCGCTCCATGCCTTGTCATGTAGTCACACACATCAAAAACTTGGCACATTTTCCTGAAACAATTGTACACTTATAATCTACAGGTATTCTACAGCACGTCATGGTTTAAACCCAGCCTAGTGTGATGGTTGAAAGTCTCTGGCTCCTACAAGAAATGAGTTTTGGGCAAACTCAAGCCATCTTCTACAATCAACTGCTGATTTCTGCAGAAATTGTTGGTTTTGATTGGAAAGGCCATAAAGATGATGAAAACATTTAATGGTGGATTCCTGCTTACACTTTCATGTAGAAGGTGCATCTTAAACTGGTGATATGGTTTACCAAGATTTGCTTTCTCCACCTTTTATGTTTATGAATGGGTATATGCTGTCTCAACTGTAATATCCTGTATATGTTGTGGAGTCCTGTAGCTCAGTGGTTAGAGCACTCGCCTCGCAAGTGAGAGACCTGGGTTTGATTCCCGGCAAGGCGAAATGTTGGGCAAGTTTCCTTACTCCACATGCCTCTGTTTACCAAGCAGTAAGTAGGAACTTAGTTGTTTGGTGCATTGCTTTTCCGGGGTAATATCCCTTTCAAAAAAATAAAAATAAATAAAAATAATTTGGTCTCTCAATCCATGAGTTTGTGGGACATTGCTGTGCCCAATTGGCTACCCTGCCCTCAAAATATACAATCAATTTAATTTACCGTATATTCTGTGAAGTGTTTTGAGACGTCTTGATGACTTGATAAGGCACTATATCAAATGCAAGGAATATTATTATCTATATGTTTAACCAGTTACAATGATTGCAGTGTACAGTGACCTGGCTAGCCCTAGCATTCAGTCAGATCCTACCAAGTGACAGGCATAATATGGAACCTATTGGATTAGTCATTGAGCCATGTCCTTGGAACAAGAATGTGGTGGGTTGGGAATGGTGAGGCCACCCTTCCATTCAAACATCCACGCTCAAAATGCAGGCTAGCAGGAGAGACCAAATTATTATTATTTATTTTTATTTTTTTGAAAGGGATATTACCCCGGAAAAGCAATTCGCCAATCAACTAATTTGCTTCATATTGAAGAGCACACTCTCAGCTGTTGCTAGAACAAAAAAAGACAACACAGAATAATGAAAATGTATGTATTTATGAATACAGCCATCTAAGCCTTCTTTAATCTGGACCTCAGGATACAGCTGGTAGTTTTAATGGTGTAGCATATCTATAATTTAGGAAATGCTCTCAATAAATCACGGAGTTTAATGCTTTGTAATCACATCCTGGGTATCTATTTCATACAACACTAACAAAGACAGGTGTATGTATCTATATGAATAATACATTGTATTTGCACAGTGGGTTTCATTTTTCCAGGGCCAACCTAAAGATAGGGAAGGATGGGGCAAGGCGGAGGGATGGAGAAAGAGTGTTTCAGAGTTTTGGAGGGGGGGGGGCTGAAAGCACGGCCATCGATGGTGGAATAGAGGGCACAACTTTAGTCGATACAGTAATTAAGTATATAATACAGTAATTTAGTACAGCTTGATAAAAAACACAGAGATAAACACATTGGAAAAAGACCCCAAAACAGTTGGGTTCAGTTGGGTTGAAAACACTCATCTCATACCTGGATAATCTGATGAGGCTGTAGTTCATCACCGACTATAGAATGGAATACATTCTCTCTCCATTCACATGCAGCAATCAATTCAGGAAGACATTCAACTGGACCTCGATAACCTTTTGAGCTACTTTTCTTTCTGCCTGTGTTCCATTTGCTAAGAAATAATATTTATATATGAGTTTTTCAAAAAAAAAGACGTGATGCACTTTCTGATTTACAAGGGAATACAATGTTAACCAGCTAAGCTGAATGCTATTAAAACTGTCAGAAACAAGCACAGTGACCAACATGGGTGACTTTTCTTAAATATTTCTAATAATAATATTTGATTTTATTTGCCCTTTTTTAATTGATCCATTACACTGTTGTTCACTATTGATGCATTTCACAAGATAGGAAGCTAAGTAAACAACTGCAAAACAACAGTTGGAAAACAACATTCTGCTTGGTGGATCGTGTTTCAGGACTGAAATTCTTGGTTGAACGGAGTCTGAAATACAGAGTTCACTTGAAGAAAGGAAAAAGCAATTGTAACTGATCCTGTGAACAGTCTGAAATGAAATGGTAAGCAAGATGAACCGAATAACTGTTTCTCTTAGATGCAAATGGACAGTATCTTTGAATGAACGATTCATGGCCATGGTCCATCATCTGCCTAAGCTGTGAATCTATAACAACAGAGCTGTGATGAATTTGCACCTAGATCTCCTCTGCAGAAAAAGATGCAAAACTATTCAATGTCTCAAAGTGTGGTGGTGTGGAAAGAACTAGTTTATGTCTGTGATTACTCACAACCTGGACTTCATATTGATCTCGGCCAAGCATCAATAGGAAGCTATGAAGAGTAGCTAGATGGTTATTATATTAAGTAGGAAAAAATAGGCTGATGAGTCACTGATCTCTTGTGCATCTTGCTGCACTGACAAACATTCAAGAGCAGTTTCATGTGCCTGCTTCCCTCGCTGGGAGTCACTGCTGGCTCCAGAGACAAAGAATTGAAGGGGAAACAAATGATAGGATAGGGGGGTGAAGCACAGAATAAATGCCCAAACAAGGTCATATTTGAAAGACTGAAAAAATGCTGAAACAGCCTACAAGAGCACAACATCATGTGGTATCAAATATAAACAGTATCACACTGGAGTAAAGTTGTGGTGTTTATCACATGGGAAGGAATCTTCCTGTTCAATTCTGCTCTACTATTTTATTAAATCACAGCAGATCTTCTAAACCTTTTTCCTTCCTTTCCTCCCTTTACTTCCAAATTATCTACCCATCTCCCTCTCAAACAACCCGGTCAACTCTGCGTCTTCGGCCTCTGGGCGAACACATTCCACATTCTCAGAACCCTCTGTGTGAAGGAGTTCAGTTACCAAAGAACATTGCTTTCCCTTTAAAGGAAATCTAATATATATATTTCATTCTAATGGGTTTGATTAATGCGAGTATTAATCGTAGTAAAAAAAAAGTTTGGATTACATTTATCGGGTTCCTATGCAAAAACTCAGACTTGCAACCTCATATAACCTTCCTCAATGCACAACAGCACTTTGCTGCCAGAAATCACCGGAATATCTTTTAAACATTTCCACTGCGTCCAGTTTTTTCATCCACAGAAAGAGAGACAAACTGTTTGCCTTGCCTGCAATCTGGACTGGTTTTACGTAGCCAGGATAAGAGATACACATATGGCTGTGGGAGGCGTAAGTATTTGACACAAAACACAGTTAATCCCTTCAAAGCTTGATCCCTTGAGGATTTCTAATGGGATTTGTTAAAAAGTTTTCATTACTAGTGATCATCAAAAATGCATTCATTTCAAAGAGTTCAGATGAAACAAATTACATCCTAACAATCCTTCGGGAATTTAGCATTTTATTTTTTTGTTGAAACAGTACTTTGTCCCTTACTTCCTTGTATCATCCAAAAGCATAAGGATTAATAAGCCTGGTTATATAAACCCTTTTACTTCAGCATATGCTGCTACAGTATACCTCATACTCCAGGGCACTCTTTAAACTCTTAATAAAAAATAATTGGAAATAGCCAGGAACTCATGAGCGTATCTATTAAACACACCTCATTCTTTGTGTCATATACGTAAACAACAGAAAGATCAAAAATATATACGTTCAGGTGCTTGAGTACTATTTTGAGATCTATGCTGGTTGTGAAAGAGTTAATAAAATGCAAATGAAACTTTTGCAGGAATACCTGAAGATGTAGAGGTGCTGTTGCTCTATGTTTGGCAGGGTGAGCAGGGAAGAGTCATGAAGCCATCTGCCTTGAACCACCATCTGAACAAGGTTAGTTACATTCACTGCTGTGATAAGCCAACCGTTGTTTGCTGCCACATCCAACATAGCCTGTGTAAGAGGGAAAAGAGAGAGGGGGAAAATATAAATTAAACAACAGTTTGTGATTTGGATTAGATTATGCTGGATTTGAGGAAAGTTAATTTAATGAGTACTATCACCAAATTTATCAGATCTTACCAAGAAATATTTAATACATGGTAGGAAACATTTGTGAACAATTTGTGGCTTCATTCTTTGAAATGTTGTTAGAATCAAGAAGTATAGAGACAGCTCTTCATTGACATCAGCTCCATTATATGCAAGGAGACACCCAACTCTATCTTTCTGCCTCTACCCTCGACTCCAGGACCACTGCTGTCCTGACAGAATGTCTGCCAGACATCAAGTCCTGGATGAGAACTAACTTTCCACAGTTGAACGTCAACAAGACTGAGGCTCTCCTGATTGGCTTCCGTCAGCATCTCCTCATCTCAGGTGCTGACACCATCACCGTACGAGGATGCGCACTCCACCTTACTAAGCCAGTCCGGAACCTTGGCATCTTGTTTGACCCTCAACTATCCTTTCGACAACACATCAGTGCCATATTCCACTCTGCCTTTCCCCACGTCCGCAACATCACCCGTCTCAGCCACTGTCTCACACCACAGGCAGCCGAGACCCTCATACACACATTCATAACATCCAGGCTCGACTACTATTGTATTGGAATGAAAAGATCTGCCAAGATCTAATAAACTGATGGAACAGGTTTGGTGGGCTAAATGACTTCCTTCTGTTCCTGTATTTTTACGTTCCTTTAATTTGCTCAGCATGGAATTACCTTTGAGACCCAATGCCATCTTGATATCACGATTAGCATACGGGGCTCCAACGGTTCAATTTCGTTGATTACTTTTAACCATATTAGTGTATTTACTGCAGTTGTCTCCGGAGAAGCAAAGAGTAAATGGGGTAATACTTCATTTGCAGATATGTATTGAGATTTCAGCAACATGTGCTTATTATTAAGTTTTCCCATTACAAAGGTAAGTTGAAACATTGCTACACTTAATGGTAAGTGGGATATCACCTCTAAAATGCCCTGATATTTCAATACCAGGCTGGACCATAGACACATAGGACCTTCAGTAGCATTATCTCAGCCTTGCACCAGATAATCTTATGGTCTAATAGCTTTAAAAATACCAATCCATCATTGTCAAGCATTTCATTATTGAGCTTTGGGGGCCTTGGGCTACATTACAGAATGGCTAGATGGTGGTGGGGCTACCTGCTTACATTCAATGGAAGTCACAAGATGGGGAATGATTAAATTAAGTTTCCTGGTAGTAATGGGGCAGCGAGATCCATGCTTGCGCTCTCTGGTAGAAGTTCAAATGAAATGTCTGGAATTGACTGAATGTTCACCTGCAGTGGCTGCTTCTTAGTCACGGTGGACCTTTAGAACCACATTGCGACCTTTGACTGGATCATGCTCTAGGCTTAACATTTCTTAGAAAAATGCAGCTGAAGTTCACCAGTCTGCAAAGGGTGTACGTTTCAGATACTGTATTGCAAGCACCATTCATTGTTGAACAAATTAACATTTCCGTAGCCTCAACTTGCATCTCTCATTGAAGAGCCTATCTGCTAAAGCAGTCCCTATTTTAAATTTGAATGAAATACTCAGCCATCCCCTATATTCTGCACAAACCTTATTTATTTACCACTCATATGTCAATAGGTGGAAATAAGTTATTGACAAAATGAAAAAAGCTATTTTCTTTTTAATTTATTCTACATAGAAAAAAAATGCTCATGTTGTTTACAGACAGCACCTCATTCCAAATACATACAGGTGCTGGTTTAAGGTACAACAGAAGTTTATATTGGACTGTAAATGTAATCACAACCTTAAGAGTCACACAATGGCTACATTTACTTAAGGCAAACAAGTCACCAAAATCCTTATTAAACAGAGCAATTGTTTACACATGCAAGAGAAATTTAAATTGAATTTTGCTGCATGTTCTGAAATGCTATTGGCAGTTCAACTAGTGTACATGGGCCAATCACTGTCTATTGTTTATGAGTTGTGGATCAAACAGTAAGAACAAAAATAATTATGTGGTTGGAGGAAGAAAGAGAACGAGGCTTTAATTAAATGAAATTGCTCCTCGCATGTCTACAGTTTTGCAGCTCAGTGCGAGTCTAGAATTCATCATCCTAGAGGTGAATTTTGCTTAGATTAAATGCATTGTCAGACAACATACTAACAAGTAGACCCTGCTGACTTCGCAATATCACTTGCCCACTTGGCGGTGGCAGATCATTGGATAAGCATCAAAATTATCCTCAGAAATTCTTCTACTTTAAATGGATGATCAGTGCTCTCAGAACTAACCTTCCCCCATACAACAGAATTATGCCAAGGGATCCTCCACTGACTATCAGCAGCCAATTAGAATAATTGTAATTTGACAGGTATGAACTATTACTTAGGTGCAGTGTTAGATAGATACTAATTATGTATTCCTAAGCATTCTCTCCTTGTAATATGAATGTTCTGAAACAAAAGGTTGCATATTGTTTCATTTTCCACCACCCATATGCTTTACCTTTGTGACGATAAATAATGGACATGTGACACTTTCCCTTGACGTCACATGTCCATTATTCATCATTTTTGACACCATACTCCCTTTTGTTCAAACTAACAGATGGTCAGCAGATGAATCAAAGATTCCAGAGTCCATCTTTCTTTTGAGCTTGCATGCAAACAAGTGAGACTCATACCCAAACAGAGGACTCATCTGGCTGAAATGTATCATCAGTAAACGGTAGAGTAGGAAGCATCAGAAAAGTTACCTGTGGTAGTCAAGAGCTCAATGCAATGTTATTTTTTGATCCTTTGATTTGGGCTTTAGCTATCATTAAGTATAATTAACCCACTAATAGGGAATGTCAGATGGGATTGCAACATTTTGAGACAGGTTATCTTTACCCTACTGATGTGTTGTTGCAATAATAATCTTGTTCAGCCTCAAATTTTAACAGTAGTGTGAAGAATGGCTGAATACTGAAAGTCACGCCCAATACAGCATACTTTCAATCAATAAGTATACCCTTACTAACAAGTATTTTCTATAACTATTTGAGTGAGTAACAATTCCTATAAAAATTAATAAAGAATAGCAAGATAAGGTTGTAATTAAAAAAAAACATTACTGTGATTACATTTCACCTTTGATGTTGCATCAAAATATTATTATTATGGATTATTATTATTTAGTACAGTACAGTAGTCGAAACTGTGACTCCATAGTACCACAAATAGTGAATGGGTATGAGATTATTGAGGGAACTGGATCCGAGAGGGCTGTGGTCTGATGGGTTGAGAGGGGGAGTTGAATAACGTGAATACTAATACCCGTATCTGTACTTCTCACACTGTGAGTTATAGGAATATGTGTTCCCCCAGTGACTCACTTTTCAAGTGCAAAGGGTCTGTTAGTACTACTCGACTGGTATTCAAATGGCCCGTGATTGAGAAGATTCTACATCCCAAATGGCAGATCGACCTAGATATTCTGAATGGCCTTTTCACTGCCCTAGCTTCTTATGTTTGCATGTTAACGACAACGGTTCCTCCCAATTAGTTGGGTAAAAGGGGTTCCTTGTGGTGAAGTTGGTTCTTTTAAAACTAAATGCAGCTGACAGTGTACTCTTATTTAACAGTATTGTAATAGGATATGCTAGTAATTAATAAATGATTAAAATAGCCTTTGGTTGTTGCAACTTGTGACAATTGTCTGTAGTTACTTTCTGAACCTTTATCCTGAAAGGTTACTAACCAGGAAGCTCAGCTGCTATCTAACAAACTTAATTAATCAAAAAGTCATTTCCTTGCTGTAACTATGAGTAAAAGTGCTTCAAGTGTGCCAGCAAACCTACAAGTTAATCAAAATGCTAATGCTGTACAAATTAAAGTTGTGATTAACATTTCACAGTAGCTGCTTGAGCAAATTGATCACACAAATAGGTTACGCATTACTCATTTCCTCCCAGACTGAAATGGGAACAGGTTTGTCATTTGGTGGAGATGGATTGTTCACAAGCACTGCATTGTCATTACACTGTCACAAGGTACACACTCGGAACATTTTAGGCACGGTTAAAAATTCCACCACAGATTTTTTTTCAGTCTCAATGGCTATCAGTCTCATTTCGTACAGTAAACATACCTGTATTAAGCTCTTAATTACAAAAAGTATCTCATGATGCAAACAATCCTACCAGGACTTAATATCAATTGTGTCCTCAAGCATTCATCTCCCCCCCCCCCCCAAGATTTTCAAGGACTATATTCTTCAAATCTCTACTCAGCAGAATGTTAATGTGTTCATTAAACAATATTTTTTGCTTAATCCAGGCACCACTTATGTATCTGAACAGTGAAATTGATAGTTATGTGATGCAATGGAAAAGCCAGCGGTGCAGTGGGTTGGTTTTGTAAACACAATGTGCAAAGTTGTTAGATGAGGGTACAGGGTACACCTTCATTCTGTCAGCTCTCAAGTGATACATCGATGAGGCTGACTGCTTTAACCAAGTTAAGGAGTAGCATGGGCAGAGCCCTTGGAATGGGTCCCCTCTGTGTGCCATCAGGGAATGGTGTAGGAAGAATTAAATGGCTGAGGAAACAACACTTAGAAAACAGGGTAATATTTTTATTAAGTTTCTCAAAGGATGGGAACAGAAAGGAACTGATAAATATCAGTGGTGTGTGAGTCAGTAACTGGAGGGCTTACATTGAAGGTAATTACCCAGAGAGCAAATGGAGAAGTCAAATTTTTTTTACCCACACGCAAGCACAGAGGACTGTTAGTTAGGACTTAGAACAGTGGCTGAGGCAAAATGCATATTAACTTTTAAGAGAGAATTAGAAAAATATTTAAAAATAGAGCAAAGGAATATAGTGAAAAGGCAGTAGAGAATATTTTATGAGATTTGAGATTTGTAGTAATAATCTACAAGGAACTATTTGTCTGAAAGTCATGTATCCT